ATAGTTAACACTGATATACTATTGTCTAATCCATAGTCCAAATCCAAATTTTGCTAATTGTTCTAATAATATCCTTTGTAGTTATTGTTCTTGTATTTCTGAGATGCCACACTGCATTTAGTTGCCATGTCTCTTTTAATCTGGAACAGTTCCTCAGCTTTTTCTTCAATGACTGACATTTTTTAAGAGTACAGACCAGCCCTGGCCAGTTTGGCTCAGCGGTTAGAGCGTCGGCCTGCGGTCCGGAGAGACCCGGGTTCGGTTCCCGCTAAGGGCACGTACTTCGGTTGCAGTTTGTCCCCGGCCCTGGTTGGTCGTGCGGGTGGCAGCCACTCGATGTGTCCCTTCACGTCGATGTTTCTCTCTCTCTCTCCCTTCCTCTCTCTCCCTCCCACTCTGTCTGTACAAAAAATAGAAAAATATCCTCGGGTGAGGATAAAAAAAATAAATAAATAAAAAAAAAAATAAAGAGTACAGACCAGTTATTTTGTAGGATGCCCTTCAATTTGGGTTCACCTAATATTTCTTCATATTCAGAATATTCATTTTTTGAATGACTGTACCACAGAAGCAATGTGTGTCCTTCTCAATGCAACACATCAGATGGCACATGATATTCTGACCTATTATTTGTGCTGTTAATTTTCATCAACTGGTAATTCCTGCCTAAGTCAATATTTCTATGAGTGTAAAAATTGTGATTTTTAAAAATTCCATCTTCTACATGTATTAGTTGGCATTCTACTGTCAAAATGAGCTCTAACTTCTCCATTTATTTTATTCACTGGGTTATAATCTATTGATATAATTTTGATGCTCTAATTGTCCCAGATTTGGCCAGTAGGAGCCCCTTCAAACTGGCTCTTAAGACTTTTTATTTGAGCCCTGGCCGGTTTGGTTCAGCGGTTAGAGCGTCGGCCTGCGGTCCTAAGAGACCCGGGTTGGGTTCCCGCTAAGGGCGTGTACCTCGGTTGCAGTTTGTCCCCGGCCCTGGTCGGTTGTGTGGGTGGCAGCCACTCGATGTGTTCCTTTCACATCGATGTTTCTCTCTCTCTCTCTGTTCCTCTCTCTCCCTCCCACTCTACCTGAACAAAAAATGGAAAAATGTCCTCAGGTGAGGATAAAAAAAAAAAAAGACTTTTTATTTGAACACTTCCTTATTTTATGGCAAAATAACACAATCCAGCAATTTTTGTACTTTCTCTGTCTCAGCCCTACAGTCATTTCTTCAAGCGACTCTGGTTTCTTTTAGTGGAAAATATTTAGAAACTATAACCTGAGTGCTAGATGTATTCATTGCTTTTGGGGTAACATTACTTCTCACTGGACAGAGCTAGGAAATAGGTGATGGTATGTGTATACTCACTCCCCAACAAATATATTCATACACATACACACAATACATACATGTATAACTATTATCTATTTATTTCTTTCCATTTACACTATATAAACATACTTAATGGATGTGTATGTATGAATCATGATGCCTCCAATACTGATACCTCCAATTCTGATATTATATCACAAGATTCACTCTAATCTTTACTGTTTATATATTTGTAGCTCCCTACTCTAACAGTGAGAAACCAGGTTCCTCCCATCCTCAATGTTTAATCAACTGCACAATCCCGGAATTCACAATAAGTACTCACAATTGCTAAGTCATACCACTATAAAAAATAAGTAGTAACTAGAGTTCAGTATTTGTTTACAGTTCTTTTGTCTTTGGAGCAAGAACATATAATTAAAGCATTGTTTCAAAAGTTACTTGGACTACTTCTTGTCCTATTACTCAGGTTCACTTGTTATTTTTAAATATTCTATATTAGAGTTTTATATTTTAAATCATTCCTCATCCTTAGTAATTTTATTACTTTAGAATGTAAAACATTAATGTGACCACTAAAGTAAAAACTATATAAAAAGATCACACCATTCAAATTTTTCTGCCCTGTACTCATTGTCCCTTATAACCAGTCTCATTAATTTCTGGCTTATGGTTCCTGTATTTTTTTTTTTTCACAGTGTAAAAAACATACGTATTTCCCCATTTCCCCTTCTTCTTTTACACAAAAAGTGGAATACCATGTATTTTTTTTTGTAGCTTGCATTTAAAAAATTTAAAACTATATACTGAAAATCATTGCTTAGTTCAGATTATCTTCCTCATTCTTTTTTACACCTTCATACAACATAGTGTAAATTTAGTTCAATCACTCTCCTATGCATAGGTTTTTAGGTTACTTGCAATAATTTAGAAGTATAATAAACACTATTTTTTTTTTATCCTCACTCGAGGACATTTTTTGCGTTTATCTTCAGATGGAGCAGGAGGGAGAGAGGAAGGAAGAGAGAAAAACATCAAGTGGCTGCCACCCACATGACCCCAACTGGGCTGGGGACTAACTGCAACCAAGGTATGTGCCCTTAGCAGGAATCGAACCAGGGACTCTATGGTCCCCAGGCCGTTGCTCTAACCGCTGAGCCAAACCAGCCAGGGCACAATAAATACTATTTAGATATTTTCATATTGTTGAAGGTGTATCTCCAGAGTAAGTTCCTAAAAGAGAAACTGCAGATCAAAAAGTAAACATACAGTTTTGTTAGAAATGCAAAATTCCTCTCTCTGTAAGGGTTGTACCACTTTGCAGAGAGTGTAACAGCTTCTTGCCTCACCAAAAGTGTATTATTAAAGCCTTTTAATTTTTGTCTATGATAGGAAAGAAATGGCATTTTCAATTTCTCTTATGAGGCCAAGTTGAACATCTTTTCATGTTTGGATGGCATTTTTATCTGTTTGGGGGGGGGGGTCAATTGCTCACTTTTAATGAGATTTTTGTGAAAGTTCTTCACCTACATAGATTTTTACTGCCCTTTTATGAAATATGTTGCAAATATTTCCCCCCAGTTTGCATTTTATTTAAATTTCAATATTTTCTTTTATTACATCTGAACTCTGTGTCATAGTTAGAAAGCCCTTCTATAGACCTACATTATACAGAAATTTACCCATGTTTTCTTCCAGTACTTGTATAGTTTCATATATTTTACATTTAGAACTCTGATCCATTTGGAAATTACTCGTGTATGATGTCAGATATACATCTAATTCTATAATTTTCTAAATGACTATCCAGCTGTCCCAGCACCATAAATTTAAAAGTTCATTTTTGCCCCAGCGGTTCTTAAAATGTCATGTTCACCACATACTAAATTTTATTTCTGGATATATATATATATATATATGCCACCAGACTTTCTATTTGTTTCTCTCATCTGTCTATTCATACACCATACCACTGTTAATTATTAAAACATTTAAAAATCTGATAAGACTATGCCCCCTTACAGCTTTTCTTTAACGTTGGAAGCAGAAAAGTCTTGTTTTGCATTTTATTATTAATTTCTAGCTTAATTACATTGTGACTAGAATGTTGGTGTTTTTCCACTTAATGAAACTTAGTGAAGCTTTCTTTGTGACATACTATATTGTCTTGTCTTGGAAGATTAAATTACAGAACATGTTTTGCTATGCATCTTACATAGCACTTCCACATACAACATTAAATCTTCACAATACTCTCTGAAGGCATCTTATACTAACATATCCTGAGCTGGGGTGGGCAACAACCCATCCAGCACTAGCCCCCAAATAAATGAGGACTTGAATACTCTGCAGGTTGCTAACTCTTCAAGGAAAAAGAAAACCTTCATCTCTGACTTTTATAATACGTAGGACTGTAGCTCTATGACCACCCTTATAGATGTAAATATCAAGTAAAATTGCTGGGGGTGTTTTCTACCATAAGCACACTAACTACAACTTTATGGTTTTCTTTTCTTTAAATATCTGCAGGGTGGGGGAGCAAGGAGGGAGGAAATGGGGGACATCTGTAATACTGTCAACAAAAAATATATAGTAAAAAAATATATTTATATATAAGTAAAAATTAGTATCTGTTGGACTCGTTATTCTCAGTTTTTCGGAAGCTTGGACTCCCTTACAAAATACTGCAAATAAAAAATACATTTTTTCCCTTGAGTTTTCTTTTAAAGAACTAAGGTTCGAATTATACATATAAGAGATTCCAACATTTTAACTAGAAGCCAGATTAGTTAGAATCCAACCAAGACCAGTGGAAGTGTCCTGAGGGAATTCCCATTGATTCCCTTTGGCTCAGTACAGTGAAAAATGGCTCCATTAAATCCAGTAACTCAAGTGACCTGACAGGCGCTATTCGCGCCAACAGGGGGGCCTCGAAACCTCCAAATTTTAAGAAATTCAAAGGAAGATAGGAAGGCGGGCAGGGGTGGCGATGGTAGAGAAAGCTCCCTTCTTTGCCAAGGTAACGGCAGAAGGCTTCCTAACACAGTTCCTGCAAGGCGACCCTTCGCGCGAGCAGAGCTTTAGGCAAAAACGTTTCTCGCACTCAGCTCTCCCCGTCACCCTGCTCCCCAGAAACGTGGAGCCGTTCTCCCCGGAAAACTTAAGGGGTGCTCCAGTCGACATCCCCGAGCGCCCTCGCCCCTGGCCGCAGAGCTAAGGAGCCATCTGAAGATGCCCGCCGCCTTCTCCCCACACCTGGGTCTCAAGAAGGTTGGAAGCCAGGCGAATGGTAGGGACAGGTATCCCCAGCTTCCTGCGGTTCGCGCAGCGCACGGGCCTCACCTGTGGGTAGAGGTGCTGCATGAAGTGCTCCTGCGAAACACCCTGGAGCCGGGGTACCGAGACCGACTGCCTGGCCATGGCTCCTCATACTCGTCCTCTTCCAAGTTCCGGGAACCTAGGTCCCACGTTCTTCAAGGTCCGATCCGCCCGGAAACACGTCCCAGAAAGAAAAGGTCCGCGAGGCGGCTGAAGTCGCGAGCGCGGCGGGTTTCCAGCGCTGGGCGCGGGGCTCCTGTGGACTGTCGGCCGGAGAGCAGGGATGGGGCGGGCTCGCCAGAGGTGGCGGAACAGCCCGCTTTACTCTCCCGTTTCTTTCTCCGAACCCAGCTGAGCTGGTGGTTTCCCACCGACTTTCTTTCCATCGTGCACAGGCAGGCGCGGGGTGAAAGGTCACAAAATGGCGCTGGCTGCTCGTCTCTTACCCCGCTTGGTTTTCTCTGGGCCTCTGCCCGGCGGAGCCGCCAGACCCCGGGCTCCCGATGCAGCCGAAGTGAGGCCGCACTTGGCTGGACTTTGCTGCTTCTGTCGCCGCCACCTCGGCTCCAGAACGGCCCCATTTCCTCGAGTCACTTGGGCCTCGGCGGCCTCGGTGCTGCCTGCTCCGGGCCTCCGGCGTCCCCTGCTGAGCCCTCCGGGACTCTCCGCAGCCCTCCCCGCTTTCCCCGTCTGCGCGCCGCGCCGCTACAGCACCGAGGAGCAGCCCCAGCAGCGCCAGAAAACCAAGATGCTCATCCTGGGCTTCTCCAACCCCATCAACTGGGTTCGGACTCGAATTTACGCCTTCCTTATCTGGGCCTATTTCGACAAAGAGTTCAGCATCAAAGAATTCTCAGAAGGAGCGAAGCAGGTTTGTTCCTTACCCCGGGGTTAACCTGTGTGTCTCTCATGCGTTCAGCTGGTACATGTAAAAGTGTTTAGCACAGAGGTATCCTCACTGGAGCCCAGACTGTCAAACGTGGGTAGTGACCCTGGCACAGTCTCTCTCCGGCCACTTGTTTACTTTAAAGTAAGCTTCTGCTTTCTTTGCATGGTGCCGAAGTTCTCGGTTCGATTGAGGCACCAGAGGAAGTCCCCCAATTACTTTTCCCCCCTCTCTACAGGTTTTGAATCAGATAGAAATAGATTGAAAGCTCATTTCTGCCACTTAAAAGCCATGTGACTTTATCATTTTGGAGGTGATTTTCTGCAAAATGAAAAAGACAATGTCTGGCACATAGTAGGTACTCCATAAATGTTTGCTGAACAAATGAATGAGTGGATAAAATTGATTTGAAGAGTAAATGAGATAACATTTCTAAAGTGCTGTAATGTCATTTGGGGAGAAGAACAAAAACTTCCTGCCATCTATTGCCAGAGCTCCTTTGCCCGTTATTCCGCTTACCCTCACTCCCGCCCCTCCCATCCTACTCCTAGAGAATAACCTAAAGGAGAGCAATTTTCCCCTTTCAAAGAATTTGCTCAGACAACCTGGTGGCTGATGAGTGCACAGCACCCAGCCCTGACCCTGACAGTTCTGTCCCTCTTTCTGAGTGGCTGATTAATAGTTCACCTTACCCTTGCCACATGTTGCTCACTTTGGGTCCTGAGATGTGCAGATTTTGTGTATACATACATTTTTCAGAATGAAAGTCCTATAACTTTCTTGAATCTCTTAGAGAGTTTGTCATTCCCAGACATTTTAGAACTATTGGTAAACAATAAAAGTCATAGTTTATTTCTCAGTTTATACCTGCATGTACCTTAAAATTGTGCCATCAGTGTAATCATTTTACAGTTGGTTGTATACTGGTGTTTGTATATTTACTCCTAATTTATTTCAGATTATTTCTATAAACACAGCCATTTATGTGTATTTATGTGACCTGTCAGTTATGAATTAAATATTTTTATGTATGTACGTATTTATTTAGGTTAATCCTCAACCAAGGATATTTTTCTACTGAATTTAATTTTTTTATTTTTATTGTTTTTATCCTCACCCAAGGACATTTTTGCATTTATCTTCAGAGAGAACGGGAAGAAAGAGAGAAACATCAATGTGAGAGAGATACATTGAGTAGTTGCCACCCCCACGACCCTAACCAGGGCTGGGGACAAACTGCAACCGAGGTACGGGAACCAAACCCGGGACTCTCTGGTCCATGGGCCAACGCTCTAACCACTGAGCCAAACCGGCCAGGGCTTTAGATTTAATGGAAGGGAGGGAGAGAGGGAGAGAGAGAGAGAGAAACATTGACATGAGAGAGGCACAGTAATTAGTTGCCTCCCATATAACCCTGACTGGGCCGGGGATCAAATCTGCAACCCAGGTGCATGCCCTTGACCAGGACTCAAACCATTTGGTCCAAGGGCCGGCGCTCTAACTGCTAAGCCAAACTGGCAAGGGCTAAATTTAATATTGTAATTAGTGTCAACTCTTGACTGATTTAGGTGTTTATTAAAAAATTATAAAGCAAAGAAAACTTGATTAATAGCATCATAAAGTGTAAACCTTTGCTTATGTCAGTTCTCAAAATCTTGTCCATGCAGAAGTAAATTTCCATGATTCGACTATTCTCCACAATGCCCACTGATGACATGTGAGCTTGCCTACATCATGACACATATATGACTCAGCTCATTTATGTGTTAATAAGGAATGGAAGTAATCTCCCTACCATGGGCGGTAATGGGACACTTGTTAGTCACTCTCTGATCTTAGGAGTTAACTCCTTAGGAGTTAACTAAAATAGTTAACTTTTTAAGCCACCCCTCCTTTGCTATTAAGTAGCATCTCCACCCTTCATCAACCAGTCTGTATTTAGTTTTGTCTCTTCCAAGTCAATTTTTGTGTATTTAGTTCTTCTGATATCCAAAAAGGATGTTGGATCATCTGTGGCAAATGTTTGGCAGTTCCCTTAAATTAGTGGATGCTTATCATATCTTTCAGATTAAGCAAATCAGTTCTTCAGCACCTAAGATTTAAAAAGACATGGCTAAAAAACCTTCTTCCAACTAGATCTTATAATGCAACTGTACCTCCCTTGCATGAATGTAATTTACGGGCTCGGGAATAATCTAGTGCAAAAACATTAGTTAGTGTATCTACACTCATGGGCTCCACTTGCCCTTTCTCCTTGGGCTAACAACCTCCCAGCAATAAGTTGTTATCTTAGGTTGTGAATATCAAGTTATCAATTAGATCATGTTTATTATGATTTTTCTTGTTTTAATTATAGAACATAGAACCTGAAAATGAAAAGGCACCTTAGGGCTTATCATTGTAGTCTAATCCTCCTTTACAGATGAGGAAACGAAGTTCCAGAAAAGTGAAATGATTGGCTCAAGGATGCATAGCTAGTGACTGCCGAGGTGCACTCTCTTATGACCCACTCCACAAGCAGTCTTGGTCCTTCAGAGTCACTAAAATTGAGATGGTTGAGTATCATCTAGGCACGCTTTTATTTATCACCTGAAGCAGAGAAATAGGCGATCCCATGCTGTAAATGGCTTTATTAGCTCCACAGACCCTCCTCTCCATTGATATGCATATATGGCACGCTTTCTTCCCTGTTACTGCCATCAAATCACATTAATCATATACTGCATTGTGGTTTTTCTTATAACTTTTTGCACATTTTAGCCTTTTCTATGAAAAAGAAAGCTATTTTCTATTTAGGTTAGATACTCCTTATCAGACCAGTTTACAACAGTTCTGATGCTAAATCCCCAGATTTAATGCAGATTCCACAGATTAAGGGTTCAGTCCCACAAGACTGCCTCCACTTCAGACACCAACCCAAGTCCTGGCCTCCCATACTTTTGACCTACTAACTATAAATTGGATTCCCACATCCCTCGGTAATTTGCTAGAATGGCTCACAGAAATCAGGAAAGCACATCACTTGCTATTTTCAATTTATTTTAAAGAAACAGCCTAATTGAAGAGATGCACATGGAAAAGTATGTGGGAAGGGCTGTGGAGTTTCCATGCCCTTTTCAGGTGCACCACATTTCCCACATCTCTCAGGGGCACTGACCTGGAAGCTTCCAGTCTTTTCCTTTAGGGTTTTTATAGAGCTTCCATTATGTAGGCATGATTGATTAAGGCATTGGCCATTGGTGATTAACTCAATCCCCAGCACTCGTATCCTCCCTGAAAGTCTGGAGGTCGGGCTGAAAGTTCCAAACCTGTAATCACATGATTGGTTCCTCTGACAACCAACCCCCATCTTCCAATTGTCACCTCATTAATCTAAACTCAGGTATGGTTAGGAGCTCTGTGCCAGGAACCAGAATAAAGACCAAATACAATAAACCCTGGATTATGCAGACCTCAGTTTAATGGACAAGATTTTCAACCCGTATGTCATGTGAAAATTAACACCCTGTTAATTTTAAATGCTCTTGACCAAGATTTGCTTACAATTAAAATAACAGGTTTTTGTTTGTTATTAAGTCACTATTATTTTAAACACATTTAAAAAAAAATTTCTTTATTGATTTTAGTGAGAGAGGAAGGAAGAGGGAGAGAGAGATAGAAACATTGATGAGAGAGAACATGGATTGGCTTCCTCCAGCATACCCCCTACTGGGGATTTGGCCCACAACCTGGGCATGGGCCCTGACCAGGAATCAAACCGGCGACCTCTTTGGTGCATGGGTCGACGCTCAACCACTGAGCCATACCAGCTGGGATAAACAAATTTTAGTGAATAGGCTATATGTTGGAAAAAACACTGTAGTAATTGTGCCTACATAAATAAATAACATATCTACAACTATAGTCTACATATTTAAGTTCAAGAGTCACCAATTGTAAACAACGTTTTGTTGAATGATTAGCACGTGAACACACTACATCGCACCCAGTAATTGCTTCTGTTGTCAACTGGCTTTCTTCATCAGTTTTAAGGTGTGCCGGTGAATGTTCCCGTGTGCGCTAAGCCACGTCCCAGCCGTGGGCATTTGTTTACTCACAGTGACTGGTGAATACAAGCATTTACTAGACCTACTCAGTATAAATTTAAAATTACAATAATACATATAGAAAATTTTTCTGTGAAATTTAACTTTTCATACATACTAAATTTTAATTACACAAACGTATCTACATAAAGTAAAAACAGGTAAACTAATTTGTCAATTTTTTAACATGAATTTAGAAAACCTACTTTGTTATATAACAGACTTGCAGCTTTAATGGACACCCCTTCACCTGAATTAGTCTGTTATATCTTGAGGTTTTACTGTATATATTTCTTATATCACAGTATCACATCAATCATATGTGCATATTGATATATCTTCCCTATGACTGCCCTCAAACCACATTAATCATATACTATTGTTCTCCTATATTTTGCTTGCACATTTCAGCCTTTGCTGTGAAAAAGAGGGCTATTTCCTAAAAACCTCTTTAGGTTAGACACTCCTATATTATCAAAGCCTTTCTTATTAGGGCAGCCTCCAAATGGTTTATTATTACCATATAGGATAATTCGCTCAGGTGTATCTCCCTTGGCTACACAGACTAGAGTCTAATGGTTGGGTTTCAATATGATGGTTATGGTTGTTTCTTTTTACCAAAATATTACCCATCTTCCACACATGAAGGCTTACTAAAACATATAGGGTCTCTGAACCCTGAGGGCCTCTAAGATGTTTGCAAGGGATCTTTGGATCTAGTTGGGCTTGTGCCTTTTCTCAAAATTCAGCTTCATTGTTCTAGTTTGATACGGCTGCTATAACAAAATGCCATAGTCTGGGTTGCTTAAACCACAGAATTTTATTTTCTCACAGTTCTGAAGGCTAGAAGTCCAAGATCAAGGGGTTGGCAGCTTTGGATTCTTTTGAGGGCTCTTTCCTTTGCTTACAGATAGATGTTTTTTTTTCCTCTGTGCACATGTACCCCTGGTGTCTCCTTGTGTGTCCAGATTTCCCGTTATAAGAACACCAGTTAGATTGGATTAGGGCCTACCCTCTTTTACTTTATCACTTCTTTAAAGGTCCTATCTCCAAATACAATCACCTTCTGAAGTACTTGGAATTAGAGCTTCAACATACTAATTGGGGGAGAATACAGTTCAGCCCATAATAATTATGTGACGTTGGCTCTCTGACGTGCCTGTGTGCATCCTCTTTCTCCTGCCAGTTCATCCAGTAACCGTAGATGTTACTTCTTTAGGAAGCCCTCTCTGGTCCTCCCATATTGGCTTAGGTGGCTCTTCTGTTTGCTCCCACATCATCCTGTTCTTACTCCTGACATAATTTTTGAACTTGTCAGTTTACTTGCCTTCTCCCTTACTTGAAGACAGGTTGAGCCTTATGCACAGTTTCATTTTTGTTCCCCCACTTTTAAATAGGACCGCCTACTTCAAAGTTGGAACCCATTGTAGTATAACACTCAGAATGGTTGATTACTTCATCATTATTTAAAAATTAAATATATAGGAGGATTTTTATTCAGGCCCTAGTGTGTATACCACACACTGTTTTTTCCCAGGTCCTGAGAGTGAATACATAATTATCAGTCTGCCTAGTTACTACTATGTATATGGGAAGGCCATATGAGAAAATAAAAGCCAACCAACTAGAAAGAGTCATGCCTAACATTGATATCTTAGTGCTTGACATTGTTTTATTACCTTTAACATAAAAGTCTTTGTTACACTTAGCCATTTAAGTTTGAGCATTGTACATTGTATGGTATTTAGCCCGGTGTTTTGAAATAACAATCACCACCCTTCCTCCAATATATTTTTTTAAGGCCTTTGCTCATGTGTCCAAGTTGCTGTCACAGTGTAAATTTGATCTGTTGGAAGAACTTGTGGCCAAAGAGGTAAAGTATACTTTAATTTTTTTTTCCAAAATAAATGCATTATTTCCTTGCAATCAAATGATATACAGAACATTGTCCTTACATATGCTTAAAAATAGTATGTGTGCCATCAGCCAAAGTAGAGTCCCTGTATCATTCCTTTTGGATACCTTGGGTCATGTAAAAGCATAGTACTACTTGCTACTAAGGCATAAGTAAGTACATATGATGTCTTTCTATTGTTCTTATATAGAATGCCCTGTTATAAATTACCTAGTTGAATAACTTGATGCTTTTTAGTCTTGCTTTTGAAGCTGAGTAAATATGGTAGTAAATTTAAAAATAGAAAATGTATTCCATGAACAATTTATTGAACTTCTTGAAAATCTTTAAAAAAAACTTAAGAGGTGAATTACAGTTTTCTTTTTCCAAACTTAGCTGCTGAATGTATTGAAAGAAAAGGTTACTTCACTACCTGACAGCCATAAAAATGCCCTTGCTGCTGACTTAGATGAAATTGTATACACCTCAACAGGGGACATCTCTATTTACTACGATGACAAAGGTAATGCTGGAGCATAGGTAACTTTAAATGGTCTATAATTGTCCAGATGAGCTAAACTACTGGAAAATCATGAAATAATGGGAGTTTGTTGGTACAAGTAGATATTTATGGACTTCAGAGAAAATAATATAGTCATTCTTTAAAGACCCAGCTCTGAAAGAGTCGAGATATGATAATGGTTTCTTATGCCTTTCTACCTGGAACTTCTCCCTACTGCTATTTAATTTACAGGAGAGAGCATTGTTATGTAAGTTGATGAAAATAATCTGTCTAGGACAAGCTGCTCCCATATCTCAAATTAAAAATGTGTTTCCGATCTCCTAACTTGAAGGAAACAGTTGTGCATTTTAAATGTCCAACTATATGTTAAGTAGAAGTAGTAAAAGAAAAAGTAAATATCATCTAAAAACTGTTTTGAAAGATCAACTATAGAACTCCCAAAGTGTATTTATTTGGAGGCAATGAAAAATAATTGAAAGAAACTTTAGTGGTTATCTGGTTCATCTTCTTGTCCAGTGCGTACTTTTTCTTCACAGCATTCCTGAAAATTTATTGACTTATTTATTCCTGCTATAAATATTTGCATATGTATTGTGTGCCAGGCATGTAGGAAATCTAGACTTTGCTTTTACACTTCCCAAGCCACTTCTGATTTGGACTTTTTCTTTTATCCTCACCTGAGGACATTTTTGCATTTATCTTTAGACAGAGTGGGAGGGAGAGAGGGAGAAAGAGAGAGAGAGAGAAACCTCGATGTAAGATAGACACATCGAGTGGTTGCCACCCACACAACCCCAACCTGGGCCAGGGACAAACTTGCAACCGAGATAGTGCCCTCAGTGGGAACCAAACCCAGGACTCTGGTCCGCGGGCAGATACTGTAACCGCTGATCCAAACTGGCCAGGGCTGATTTGGACTCTTAATAGTTAAAATTTTGTCATACACATGTTAATTTGAAAAATTTGTAAACGTACTTTTACATATTTTTCATAAATATATTTTCTCCCCTAATATTTCAAATTGCATCTTAGCACCATAATTACTACCTAATTTGTACACAAGAGATTGTCATAATCATTAGGCATAGCAAAGTGAATTAGGGTAGAATAGAAAGAAGTCTTCTTTCTGGCATTTTGGGGGTTAATTAGCAGCAAGAAATATTTTTCCCCCTCATTTTTGGTTTGACAACAGATATCTGTTATAATTTTAGAAAATGCTACAAATTGAAAATAATCTATATAGTACACTTCGTGAATAGTACATGCTCAATAAATAATAGCTGTTATTGCAATGCAGAGAAGAGGGCAAATATGTCATTTACTGTAAGAGAATTTTCTGAAGATAAAAAGTTAACAATATAGGTATCTTAAGTTAGACTAGAAGAAGCACAAAATTTGATCTGTAACTACTGCCAGTTTCTATTTCATTTTGGATATATGGATGACAAATTATTGTGATTTGTATTTGTGTGTGTATGTGTATGTTTTTTCCCTAAGGAAGGAAGTTTGTTAACATCCTGATGTGCTTTTGGTATCTAACCAGTGCCAACATCCCCAGTGAAACTTTAAGTGGAGCCGGTGTGTTCCAGGTTAAGTTGGGGGATCAGAACGTGGAAACTAAACAACTTCTTAGTGCAAGCTATGAGTAAGTAATTACATTTCATACTATGATTAGAAAACTAAAGGGGACTTTAGGAAGAAAGGATTGAAATTTGACAAGTTATTTATGAAGAAAGTCATAATGACATTCTGGCCATGAAGCAAGAGTGTTCAGAAATTTAGAAGGAAGTAATATTGTTAAATGTAATTAAACAGTGTTTCAGCTGTCTATTGCTGCATTACAAATCACTCCAAAACTCAGTAGCTTCAAACAGCCCATTTATATTGTCTGCTATTTTACTGCTCAGGAATTTTGGAAAGGTTCAACTCTGGGGTTTTCTCTGCTTCACCTGGCATCAACTGGGGTAACAGGGCCTAGAGGACTCATTTCCCCAGTGGATTCTTCACTGACACGTGGGTCACCTTGGTGCTTCTTGGCTTCTCCACATAATGTCTCATTCTCCAAGGCCTTTCTTCGTGGCTTGGCTTGTGGTAGTCTTGGGCTAGTCACGTGTTTATGGTGGTTGGCTTTCGAGAGGCAGAAGACAGAAGATGTTAGGAGCGCTATGCCCAGAGTTGGAACAACATTATTTCTGCCATAGTCCACTTGTCAAAGCAGTCACAGGACCTGTGCAGGTAAAAGGGCCTGAAGAGACTCTACTCTTATGGGGCAATGGCAAGGTTACACTGCAGAAGCCCGCTGGATGGGAGATACGCTTATGGCCCTGGTTGGAAAATAAAATCTGCCATAATTGGCATATGGACTATACACTCACTAGACATTTATTGACCATCTCCCATTTACCAAGTACTCTAGAAGGGGTTGAAATACAAAATTAAAGGTTCTTGCCCTTAAGGAGTACTGTCTAGTAGGAGGTTAGCAAATTATTTAAAAGAGACACTACTGTATATTTTGTGCTAATAAAATTTGGAGCAATGAACAAGTTAAGCAAGTCAGTGGAGACATAATTATATATTTAAATACTTAATTTTAATCTACTGAATTGTCTCTTTTGAAATATCATTTATAATGAAAGAGTGCTATAATCAATACTAACCTTTGGTTCTTTCGATCTTCCCTGGTAAGACCATGGGCAGCTCATAAACACTGTTATTTTAAAGACTGATCTAATGTGTTTAATCCAGATAACACTGAAGTGCTGTTTTCATCACTATAGTCCAGTTTATTTCTCCTCATATGAAGCATATGTTATAGCTAGTATTTAATAAAAGAATCATACCCATTTTTCACAGGGTTGGCAGATGTGGGAGTGTAGATCAGTCCATCAAAAATACTCATTTTAGTTGTGAATGTACTTCTGATTTTGTGGGGATATTTTCTGTGATTGAATTGGTAAACCTTTTATTTGTATTTTTATTTACCATTAGCTTATTGCTAAAAACTGCTTCTAATGTACACTTGCAGATTAGTTATGTAAGAAATATTTGAACTGATGTAGAATTCACATTATTTGTAATTTTCTCCCTAGATTTCAGAGGGAGTTTACACAAGGAGTAAAGCCTGACTGGACCATTGCACGGATTGATCACTCAAAGTTACTAGAATAATCTTTCTTGGAAAGAAATCAGCTAGTTTGGACTTTTAGCAGTTGCTGTGAAAAAACTAAGGAAGAAAATTTGGATCAGTTTATTTTCACTTAATCAAATCTGTAGATTACTTTTATATTATTCTGAAATACTCCTTGTAGTATATTGATGTGATATAATGATGTTGTCACCTTCTGTAGAAGAGGTCAAAATAAACTACAACAGCCCATTGTTGGTGTCATAGTCACTATCATCTCTAGTGATACGTGTATATGTATATACATACAGACTAATTTTATAGATAATAAGGTACTGAAAAAACTACACATTTCTAACAATGGTCCTTAAGTATTATATTTGTGATTAGTACATTTAAACCAATAATTCAAATATGTATAAGGTTTATTTATTAAAATCGGTGCTATTTGTTACCTCTGGTCACTAGCTAGATGAGAAGGAGAAATGGATGGAATTATGGCAGGTTGGTCACTGCACAGTGAACTTGAAGCTTTCTAAAGCACAAAGAGGAAAAAAATAGTCTGTCGGCCACCTGTGGGGTAATATCAAGTCTTCTAACATACTTGCATTTGGAGTCCTAGAAGTTGGGGTAGGACAGATAAAATATATGTAAGAAATAATGTCAAAATTTTCTTAATTGATGAAAACTATCCAAAACCCACATATCCAAGCAATTCATCAAACAGGATAACATCAAAAAACCTCACTGAGTACATCATGAAGTGTTGAAAACCGGAGAAAATTATAAAAGCAGCTGGAGAAACAAAAAAACATTCAATACAGAGAATGACTTTTTCTTTTCTCAAACTGCAAGTTAGAAACCTTGGTTTGATACCTTTTAAATGCTGAAAGAAAACCTATTGGCCTTCAATTCTATATTCAACAAAAATATCCTTTAGAAAAGGTGTGAAAAGACCTTTTCACACGGAAAAGATGAATTTGTTGCCAGTAGACCTATTTTATAAGAAATATTAAGGACTAATGGACAGAATAGATTAAAAAATGGAACCATACATATTGGACAATTGATTCTTACTTTAAGAAATTGGCTCACAAGATTGTAGAGGCTAGTATGTCCCAAATCTGCAGAATAGGGCAGTAGGCTGGAGCCCCAGGGAAGAGTTGATGCTGCAGTTCAAGTCTGAAGCAAGTCTGCTGGCAGAGTTCCTTCTGGGGGACTTAGTCTTCTTCTACTAAGAGCTGGTTAATGAGGCCCACCCACATGATGGAGGTAATCTGCTTTACTCAGGGTCTGCTGACTCACATATTAATCTCATCTAAAGTATATCTTCACAGAAACATCTCAAATAATGTTTGACCAAATATCTGAGTACTGTGACCTAGTCAAGTCAATAGATAAAATTACCATACACAACCATATACTCTTCCCTTAGATTCAACAAAGGTTAACTTTTGCCATATTGTTTCATCTCTGTATATGCACACACACACTAATCTGCTACTAGGTTCTAGTGTGTGTGTGTTGGGAAGGGATTTCTCCATAAGGTCAAGCAGTTCTGAGATACCACCTGACTGGCCTACAACTCAATTCTGACACTATCTAGAGATAATATAAGATTCACTGGTTAAGGGTTCTGTCCTATAAGATTCCCCCTCCCCCTCCAAAGCCAATCACAAGTTCAGGTTATCACCTGGGCTTCTGACAACTGGCTATAGATTGGAGGTTTCAGTGACTCCCTCCTTGGGTTTCATATATATGCTAGAGCAGCTCATAAAACTCAGAAACATTTTACTTAGAGATTATCCATTTATATAAAAGGATATAACCTAGGAGCAGCCAGATAGAATGGATGCATACATAGGACAAGGTACGTGGGAAGGGGTCCGTGGAGCTTTCATGCCCTCTCAGCATGCCATACCCCACATCTGCAAATGTTCCCCAAAGCTCTCTCAACTCATCCTTTTGGGGCTTTATGGAGGAGTCATTACATCAGTGATTAATTCCATCACGGCTGTTGAGGCTGTTGACTATCGACTAAACTACCAGCCCCCCTCTCCTCAGGAGTCAGGGAGAGGGGACTGCAAGTCCCAACCCTCTAATCACAGGGTTAGTTCGGCAACTAGCCCCCATTCTTAGGTGCTTTTCAAGTCACCGCATGAATATAAACTCAGGTGTGGTTGAAAGGTGTTTGTTAGGAATATCAAGACACTTATCACTTAGGAAGTTCCAAAGGTTTTAGGGCCAGAAACTGAGATAAAGACCAAATATATAAAATCCTAATATCATATACATAGTTTTTACCTAAGCCATTTGAAAGTAAGTTTCAGACATGTATGGTTGTTTTAAGCCACTAAATTTGTAGCAATTTGTTACATCAGCAACAGGAAATTAATATACAACATGATTCTTGCAAAATAGTTGGAAAAATGATGATTCTATATCTTCTACTGGCATTCTTCTGTAAAACAGTGATATTTAAAAATACCACTGCAAATGCATGAATTTTAATCAGTGTAGTATTCATAATAGTTATTATTCTTGATGCTTAAATAGCCCCCAGTTTAACCAGTAGGAGCCCCTGCAATCTGTCTGCTTTGACAGGTTAAAGACTAACATGACCCTGTTGTTAGTCTGTGCTTTTGCACTTTCTGGCATAACAGTATATCCTAGGATCTTTTATTCGTTGTCTGCCTCAGCTGAAAACTCAATGGTTTCTCCAAGGGGCATGATATTTTTCTCAGGTCAATTGCTATACACTGAATATTTGTGCCCTACCCTCCAATTCGTTTGTGGAAATTCTACCCTGCAGTGTGATGGGAGATGGGTGGGGGGGATGGAGCCCTCATGAGCGGGATTAGTGCCCTACTAAGAAACACCACCATCAAAAACAAAACGGCTTCCTCACTGCTTCTTCCATGTGAAGACACAGAAGAAGAAAGTGGGCCCTCACCAGACACTGAATCTGTGGCACCTTGATCTTGGCCTTCCCAACCTCTAGAACCGTGAGAAAGAAATGTTTGTTGTTTAAGATGCTCAGTCTGTGATACTTTTGTTGTAGCAGCCCGTGTGGGCTAAGACGGGGCTGATGTTTAGAAACTGATTTGAACATCTTGAAGTGTTTTTATACTTTATTTCTTCAAAAGAATGTTCATATACATAAACATTTGATATTTTGGATTATTTATCTAAAAGAACATTGGGAAAGCTAAATGTGGGCTGTTTGCATTTATTTCTGTCAACTTTATTTAAAATATCCTTCCCCCATCACTCTCTGTGCCCTAACCCAGGTTTATTTTGGTTTATAGTATTATCACGTATGACATTGTAATATATATTACTATGTTGATCTGTTCTGTTATCTGGCTCTCCTGTTGTAACCAGGAGAATCAACCTCACTCGGACATAAAGTAATTTTGAATATTAGGAGCTTTATTACCTGCGCAGGGACTGCAGCCAACCTACACAGAGGAGAACTGCAGCCCAGCTCAGGGGGAGGGTTGCTTATATAGGACAGGGGTCATTCAAGAGGTTAGCAGAGCAAGCAAGCTACGTGTACGGAAGTGGGTATCAGCAGTTAGTAGTTGCACAAGTTGTTTATTTTATATTTCTTAACATTTATTAGATCCCAGCCTTGAATGTCTCATTTTCCCATCTGGCATCTTCTAATTAGTTAAGCTCATGGTCAATACCCTTGTGGTCATGGCTGATGCATACATTCCTCTTCAAGAATTTTTGCAAAAACAACTCAGGTTCAAGGAACCCAGGAGAGGTTCCTTCTTCTAGCGGATGGAGAATTACTGGGTTATAACAATCCAACTAAAGCATCTTGGTCCTGGAGCAGTATCTGGTACATAGTACAGCTAAGTAGATATTAGTTGAATGAATGAATAAATATATGAGTGAACCTCACTGCTGAGTTTCTGGACTCACATAACAGGAACATTTTTCTTCTTGCCTTTGATTTGATGCCCTAGCAAGCTAAATGTGTTTTATTTCATCAGGTACAGTCTTCATCTCAGGAGGTATGCGGTATTATTGGATAGTGATCTTGCTTTTATGGTCTTCTAATAGATGTCATTCATTCTAAACACCACACGGTGGAGCTGATTGTGTATGGAATCTAAAACCAGAATCAGCAGTAAGTTTGATAAGGTCTGAAGTCACCAAGCAATGGGAGGATTGCTTTGCTTACCGACAAATTTTTGTAGATATAGGAAAATGCTCAAAAAAATTTCTAAGAAACAAAAGGTGTTGATATTAAAAGGGTTAAGGCATAGGTCAAATCGGAGGGAACGTTTTCCTACATCTCTTCTCTGGTTGTTGGAACCATAGTTTACATCATTCAGTTCCTCTGTGATTATCCCCACCCTCAGAAGCTGTTTCTGGATGGTGTAGTGTACTGACTAGTAGATTATGCTAGTACATTTTACATACTGTAGCTTATGCTGCAGTAACAACAACAACAAATCTCCAAGCCTCAATGTATTGAGGCCAAAATAAATAGTATGTTTTTTGTTCACACTGCATATCTAATAAGAGACACTTAGGGACTCTGTTGATTGTGTCATCACCCTCCCTCCTAGACACAGGTGATGGGTGGCCACTTCCTGATACTATGGCAAATGAAAAACAACTCTGAAGGGTCTCACATGAGTAATTACATGCTAAACTTGGAAGTGATACAATTCACTGGCCAGAACATAACCCTGTCAACCACAGAGATCCAGGAAGTCTATTATGTGGCTGTGATGCTGTTGTAATTACCCTAGTTACTAACAACAAGAAAGGAGCAAAGGGAAGGCCAAACACTACAAGCATGCCATTTGTGCAGCTTTGCCAGGAACCTGCAGTTTAACACCCCCCAGGTAGCCACCAGTCTATTCCCCACAGATCGCTGGGGGAAAAGACTGGACAGGGTGGAGAATAGATACAAGTAAAGTCTGGGTAAAATAGGAAAGGTACTTGCCTAAAAGTCACACCTGGAAACAGGTCATTGGCCAGAGTAGGTGTGGCCACTGCCAGTGTGGGAAGATGTGGAATATTTAAACAAAAAATTTTGCTCTCTTGGTTTCTCTTGTTTGACTCCTGGCCGCGGGGCTCTCAAGCTCCTGCTCTCTTGCATTTGCCCACATGTCTCACAGTCATGTGGACTCTGCACAATGGACCGATGGACTGCAGCTAGCCTAATGCTATACCAAACCCAATTCCAACATGGACTGGAAACTCTGGACACTGGCTTTGC